GTCTCTCTCCAGCTCAGTGTGGAGGGAGGGGTGCTGACTGCTGCTTCGGGGGACATGTCCGTGGAGGTGTGGAGGATCAAGACGTGAGGGATCACGCAGAGGGAATAAACAACCTGAGAAGAGCATATCATTCCTTTAACACACTCACACTCGCACACTGACACACTCACACACTAACACTGACGTACTCGCACACAAGCTCATTCACAATGACTCATTCTCACACAGACGCATTCACCCACACTGACACACTCGCACTCATACACAGACTTATTTACACACAGATGCATTCACAGACACTGACTCACACACTGACACACTCGCACTCACACACACCCTCACACAGACTCATGCGCACACTGGGTCACATACACACGCACAATGACCCATACACACTTACACATTAAGGTAACCCCGTCTCCCTACACACTCACATACTCACAGTTAAACACGTCGACACTGCACAGTCCAGTTATAGGCCAAGTGCCAGGGAAGGGCTGTTTATTGATGTTTTTTCCTTGTGATCTATTTAATCTGATGTGTCTAAAATATATAAGCAGTAAAATCCTTCAATATTCATTCCATGCAGCTGTTTGTAAAGAGTTTGATCATTGTCAGTCTTGCTGTAGTGTAGTGTTAAGGGGTTTTTGTGTTCAGTTACAGAGTAGCTCCGATCACATGTAGTTCCCTTATCTGACCAAGAGGGGGCATGGAACAAAGCCCAGACATATTGCCGCTGTCCAGGTTTTTTGTCTGTTACAGTTGGAAACACGAGACAAGCTCAGCTGATCTTGTTTTGTGTTTTATGTATATATCAGTTTATGTAATAAATACATGCTTGTGTACAGATCTTTGGAGTGTCAGTTCTTTTATCTTGTGATCTTGTGTCTCTGTCACCCCCCCTTCCTTCCTTCTCAAGGCTCTCCTGCAATATTCAGGTGGACAGGGTTCAGTGTTTGATGGCCCTGTCTTCACAGTCAACAGTGTAATTCACTTAAATACTTTACCCGCGGACATACATTAAAAAAAAATGGTGCTTATGAAGTGAGCTGGTCTGTCGAGATGGCTTCATGCTGAACACTGCCCTATAGAACAATTAAGCGTGGTCACATCTACATGGGACATTGAGGAACACCGTCTCAAGAACAGACAGAGCACACCAGACGGCGCTAGAGGGCACCAGCGCAACTGTTAAACACCAGAGAGGCTCTACAGGCAAGTGTGCCGAGGTTGTGCCATGGAAGGCTTTATCTGGTGGTGGAAACTTGATGCCAGCGCCCTCTGGTGGACATGGTTAGCGCCAGCGCCCACTGGTGGACATTACTGATGCCCTCTGGTGGACACTGATGGTGCCAGCGCCCTCAGGTGGACACTGATGGAGCCAGTGCCCTCTGCTCTGTTCAGTCTCTGCTCATGGGAAAATGCTGCATGGTTTCTCACCTCGTTTTTTTTCATTCGAGGAATCAACTCTGTCATATACCAGCTAGCCTTCTCTTAGGCATACAGTTGGAAGTGAATTTCTTGTCTGCTCTCTGGCAGTGTAGAGGAGGCTTTTGTGGGCTGGCTGTCAGCTTGTTTTGTGGCGTGGAGCTCCGGAGCCAGGGCATGAGAGGCGTTCAGAGCAGCACGCAGGACTTCTTGTCCTTGAAGGGGTTGGAAGAGGTGGGGATGCCGGTGAGCAGCGGGTCGCTCTTGCTGTGGTCCTGGCAGAAGCGCACCAGATCGGTGGCAGCTATGGAGATCTGAACACAGACACCAGGGAGACTCCTGTCATGAGCCCCAAGTTACAGCGCAGACAGCACATCAAAACAGAAAGAGGAAAACCTTCCGAATACATTTCTTAAGTCTCTAGAGATTTACAGAGAATTGCCCAAACGTTTACTCTGCTGTTGCACTAACCCTGGACTCAGTCTCTCAGAACGAGAGGCATCGATCCCTTCAGGAAAACACTGGAAATAAGCCCTGTCAAGAAGCACTTCAGGCTCAGCTTCTTTCCCACTGCCAGGCGATCGGTCAGCTATCTAGCCTCCCGTGAGCAAGTCCCTTAGAATTCTGTTGCCAAATGTGAGGTTAATGTTTGTGCACAGGTAAAATTGTGATTGTGTTCTCCTTGTCTCTTCATTTCAATTTTTAATATTGTACGTGTTGTATGTCTGCTCAAATTCCTCCAGCTACTGCTGTGTGGCACAGGGGCTGTGGTAGCTCAGATGGCAAGGGTGTCTGGCTCCTGGCTGGAAGATCCCGGGTTCAATCCCAGGTAGGGGCAGGCCATAAAGCTTGTACTAATTCTTTCCAGAAGGCTCCCAGGTCCACTCAGCCTGCTTTCCAAATGAGTACCAGGGGTTATCCTTCTGGGGGTATTAGGCCAGCCAGAGCGTGATGCTGACCTCATCACCTCCACCTCCAGTGTTGGCTGGTTGAGGAACAATGGTGCCCCCATTCCCCATGGGCTTTTTTGGCCTGAAAAGGGACCAACCTACCTACTACTGTGTGGCAATAAAGAATTATTCAATTTAACTGATCCAGTCAGACACAGCGCCAGTGGCGAATGGAGAGAAGGCTTTTTGCCTGCAGTGAGAGCAGGAACAGTCCTGCTGGGGCGGGGCGCTGGGCTCACGGTCTCGATCCGAGCGAAGACGCACCTTGATCCTGTCCACACTGGCCTCCAGCCGAAGCTGGTCCACAGCCCGGCGAGCCTGAGCCACACTGCTGCTGCAGAACTTCCCTGGCATCTCCAACATCCCCCTGCAGGGACACACGACTGTCAGCACACAGGCAACTGCGGGCGCACACTGCACACCGCAGGACTGAGCACACAACGCAGGACTGAACACACCACATAGGACAGGACTGAGCACACCGCGCAGGACTGAGCACACCACATAGGACAAGACTGAGCGTACTGCACAGCGCAGGACTGAGAGCACCGCACAGCACAGGACTAAGCACACAACGCAGGACTGAACACACCGCACAGCGCAGGACTAAGCACACCGCACAGCCCAGGACTGAGCACACCGCACAGCGCAGGACTGAGCACACCCCACAGCCCAGGACTGCACACTGAATACCACAGGACTGAGCACACTGCACAGCGCAGGACTGCTCACTGAACAGACTGAACACACTGGCACACCGCCTCCACACACTGAACTTTACAAGACTGAACACACTGGCACAATGCCTCCACACACTGAACTTTACAGGATTGCACACATGGGCACACTGCCTCCTGACTATGAGAGAAATGTGATTCACTTGCCTGACAGTGAAGATGACGAAGGGTGAACTTGTATGGCTCAGAAGACTCTCCACAAGGTCTCACAGATCCAGGTTCATTCACGGGCAGGACAGGTAGAGCCCTCTGACAGAGAGACAGAGGACAGAGAGGGGTTGTCTGCACTGGTAGAGAGAGATACAGAGGACAGAGAGAGACAGGAGGACAGAGAGGGGTTCTCTGCACTGGTAGAGAGAGATAGGGAGCACAGAGAGAGACGGGAGGACAGAGAGGGGCTGTCTGCTCTAGTGGAGAGAGATACAGAGGACAGAGAGAGACAGGGAGAGGATAGGAAGGAGGAGAGGGAGAGGAACTGCCTGCTCTTGGAGATGCAGATGGAGGTCTGTATATATATGGACTGTGGGGTCTGCTGGGGTTGCCTGTCTCCCTCTGTCTCTGATCCCTGATTCCCCCCTCACAAGCCTGCAGGGTCCAGGCTCAGTGACTTCAAAGCCCCTGTGAAGTGTGAAGAGTTGAAAGGAGCCCTGGCAGAGCACAAAATGTCACGCCAGTGACCCTGGCACTGTAAATTTGTAATGAGCCCACAGTGAGCCTGCAGTGTGCCCTCTGCCCCTTCATGTGACCTTCACAGTCCTCTGAGCCTCAGTGTGTCACACTGTGGTTCCCCTGGCTGCTCCTGAACACACTGTCTCTCTGACTGCCTGTCTGTCTCTGTCAGTCTGTCTGTCTGTCTCTCTGACTGCCTGTCTGTTTCTATGTCTGTCTGTTTGACTGCCTGTCTGTCTCTGTCTGTCTGTCTCTCTGACCAACTGTCTGTTTATATCAGTCTGTCTGTCTCTCTGACTGCCTGCCCGTCTCTCTCCATCTCTCTGACTGCTTGTCTGTCTCATTGCCTGCCTCCCTGATCTTTCTGTCTCCTTGAATATTTGTCCCTAATTGTCGGTCTGTCAGCCTCAGTCCATCTGTCTCACTACCTGTCTGTCTTTCTCCTTGACTGCCGGGTCTCCTTCACTTGATCTAGTATCTTTGATAAGAAGATTTATGACACACTTTACAGCTGCTTCATTTCCCTCTACCCTTAATTGCAAACTATAGACTAGTTACTCTTCAAACTAAGCTCGTTCGGTGGCGGGAGGCGAGAACAAAAGTTGCAACGAGCCTCACTGCTGGAACGGCCGGTTTGTCCCTTCAGGCTTTCCGTAGTTGTTGTTAGGTGCGTCAACAACATGGCGGCGTCCCGCACTGCGACGTGAGTTAACTGCCAGAAACAGCGAAACCGAACCTGGTCCTTAGAGGAGAGAATACAACGACAGTCCGGGATCCGAACTCGAGGAGGACAAGCGTGCCAGGTGTGTTTTTCAGTTCATGCAAATATCTGGTTACTATAAAATTACAAAGCAGTTTTCATGATTTCACCCTCATTACTGCATAGTTAGCTGGACCTGGGATGTACTGCAGTACCGTCAGAGGGTCGTTCACGGTCCCCTTCATTCACGTTTATCATATCAGGAGCCGGTATTAACTAATAGCATTTTTTTAA